CTTCCCCCCCCCCCTTACCAGGCTTCGCTACACTCCTGCACTGAGCTTCCTGCTCTGATCCTCCAGACAGACACAATCTGCACATCACTTTTCCCATCTTTGCTCTTCTTTTTTGTGATAGCAGTGTTGAGATTTATATCTTTGAAATTCATTTTTGTCAAAACAAGACAGAAAAACATGCAGTTTTTTTCTTTCTTTCTTTTAAAGGGGGCTACTTAGGCAGAAAGCAGGGGTAAAGGTAGCTTTGCAGATTGCATCTGGCTGTACTATTAGTTTATCTCTAAATGGTATGGTGTGCATGGAAATATGCATGTTCTTTTTCTTGTATGCATGTTTTTATATTTAAGGGGTAATGTTTGTCTTTGTCCCATTGCAGCTCAGCTGAGTCAGAGGAACTTGCAGTTCACTTGTACCCTGGAGCAGTCACAGTGCAAGGAGTGTTAAGGCGAAAGACTGTGCTCAAGGAGGGCAAGAAACCAACTGTGAGAATACACACTCACACATTTGTCTAGATAACCAGACACGCACGATCCTTCATGTGCTGCCCATACCTTCATGTACTCCTAAGCAGGAGCACATGGGACATATATACTGTCAATCACAGATGGGACCCCAGAGGCTTCTTAACCTGCAGAATATCTTTCTCTGTCTGTTCCACATGTTTTCTCATTAACCTCACCCTCCCGACCCTGTGACACTGAGATTACCCCCTTATGTTTCGTCTGGAAATAAATGTGGAGCTTTATATGAACTTAAAATAACTAAAGACTGTCATAGGTAGTGATGATGGTTTAAAGTCTGGCGCTCCACACCTGCCGTGTTAATTAATGGCTTCACTTGATCCCATTTTCTTTCATGCGTTTTCTCTTCATCTCGTTTCTATTAATTTTAAGCCTTCTTGTAGTTTGCAGAACAAGCTCCTTAGATTGCATGTTGAGTCTTTCACAAGCACAAGAAAGGATTTTTTAAATTAAAATATGTTTTATATTTTAAGGTTCTGTTAGCTTTCATAACAGCGTTGCACAATATTGGCAACATCTTTACCAGCGTCATGAGGTCATCACCTGAAATGCTTGTTCAAGGAGTTCCCACATATGCTGAGCACTTGTCAGCTGCTTTTCCTTTTGCAGTCCATCTCATCCCGGTTTGGCATTCGTGGGTGAATGTAACCCTTACAAAGCCCAAAGGTATGTTTTGACTCACAAGAAAAGCCCCCAACCCACCTATCAACACCATCAAAGCTGCTCATCAGTTCTTCACAGTGGGAACCACACATGGAAATGCCATCCATTCCCCCTTCTCGGCATCTCACAAAAAGCTTAACAGCTGGACCCAAAAGTCTAAAATCTGAACCTCTCGGGCCAAACTCCAGATTTCCACGAGTCTAACGTCCATTCCCAGTATTTGGGATCTGGAGACTTGGTTGGGTCAGTGCCTTTGGCTCTGTATCGTTTTTCTTGAGCCATTCCTGTGTATTGTCCAGCTAGCAGAGGTTGTTGCCATTTTGGAGGTGTGATTCGTTTATAAGAGTTTTTTAGCTTCTTAGTTCAAGTCCGTGTGAATGGCAAGCATCAGATTACATTGTAAAAGATGATAAGTGTCATTTGCTTTCTTGCCTGTGGCTTTAATATAGAGTCTGTTACCATGTT